AAAAAAACTAAAAATAAAGTTACATTATGACCCAGCAATCTCACTTCTGGGCATATATCCAGAAAAGATGAAACCTCTAATTCAAAAAGATAAATACACCCCAATGTTCAAAGCAGTATTTACAATACCTAAGACATGTAAACAACCTAAATGTCCATCAAGAGGAGTGGATAAAGAAGATGTGTGTGTGTGTATGTGTGTGTACACACACATACACACACATATAAACACACAAACACCTACATACATACAACAGAATATTACTCAGCCGTAAAAATGAAATAATGCCATTTGCAGCAACATAGGTGGAGCTAAAGATTACCATACTAAGTGAAGAAAGTCAAAGACAAATATCATATACCACTTATATGTAAAATTTTTTAAAATGACACAAGCAAATTTATTTACAGAACAGAGATAGACTCAGACATAAAAAACAAATTTATGGTTACCAAAGGAAAAAGTAGCAGAAGGAATAAGGAATTTGGGATTAACAGATACACACCACTATATATAAAATAGATAAGCAACAAGGACCTACTATATAGCACAGGGAACTATATTCAATATCTTGTGATAACCTATAATGGAAGAGTCTGAAAAAGAATATATTATATAAAACTGAATCACTTTGCTGTACACCTGAAACAACATTGTAAACTGACTATACTTCAAACAAAAAATATATATCCGTCAAACTGTTCTAGAGGCATAGGCTTTGGGATCAAATACACCTGTGTTCTAATATCTTGTCTGTCACTTATATAATTTCAAACTTTAACATGTAATCAGAATTACTTGAAGGCTTGTTGAAACACAGACTGCTGGGTTTTATTTCCAGAGTTTTAGATTCAGTAGGTCTGGGGTGACACCAGGAATCTGCTTTTCTCACAGTGTTCCCAGGTGCTGCTGCTGCTGCTGCAGGTCGGGGGCCACACCTGAAGAATCGCTGTTCCTTTCTCCCCTGTAAAATGATGATACACTGCCTCACAGGACACACCCAGAAATCTGTAGCAAGCACTCTTCAGTGCTATTTTTACCCCTCACAATGAGCCATGCTGGAGGTCAACTGGCTATTGCCAGTGGAGTATTCCTTCACTTTATCCATTTAATCCTACTATGGTCAGATAATTAATGGTCCCCTCCCTAAGAGTTCCCAGGATTTGCCATTACTTTCTAGAGCCTAGAATTCACTTTGGCTGACTCCTGCCAACTTAGAGGCTAAAAAAACACTAGTAAGCTTTAAATATACATTAAGCATTCTTGAAGGCCTTAAGGCTCCACAGACCAGAGGCATCAGAATATCCCATGAGCTCACTAGAAACACAGAATCTCAGGTCCTACCCTAGGCCTACTGAATCAGAATGTGAATTTTACCAAGATCTTCAAGTAATGCATATATTCAGCAAAGTTTGAGAAATGTTAAGATATTTAAGGAATTTCCATGACATACCTATTAGTTCAACAATTATGATCCCAGAAAACCATCCCCATCCTGATGCAATTTCAAAAGCATTATGTAACTGGATTATTGGAACAAAATTATGTGCTGTTATTTACTCAATATCTCAAATTAGGGAAGTCTGAAGAGCCATCTACAAATAAATGACTTACTATTAGTTGTTGGTGTAAGACTTGCTCCCCCATAAGCTATATTCTGTGTTCAAATGGCAGCATGCCTATAATATTAAACTCCAGTATCAATTAGCTCATTATTACTAATCACTGGTTATCTCATTGCCAATTTAGTGCGATGTATTGCTTGAGGGAGTTAAAAACCAGTTGGGGCAGCACTAACAGAATTTCTTAACCAGAACACTTGGTATATACCCTAAAAGCTAAAAGGAGCATTTCTATATTCAAAGCTGTAGCTACTTCAAACTACAGAACAAAGGAGATTTCAACTTAAAAATACAGGACCTCTATTTTAGCTGAACAACATGCCACCTTTCTGGGCTGCCATAAAAAAAAAGCCTAGTTTGCATGGGTAAGAAGAATTCTTTTCCATTCAACTGTTATGCTCTTAGAAATCTACACTGTCCAGAAGTCCACCCCAAACTTATCCCAGGGGCCCAACTCCCCAGTCCCTGCAGTAAACTCACAGAAAGGGAAAGGTCAGCTTTTTAAACCCACACACCAGTTCTGATTCAGCACAGGACAGGACAAGCCCCCTGTGCTGGTACATTTGGAACAGTCTGAGCAAAGAGAGGAAAGCAGAACTCCTTTGTTGGTAGCAGGAGCCAAGATTCATTAGGTCGAGCTTGGACTAAAAACCTTTAAAAAAAAAAAAAGTGCTATGTGAGCACAGTTTTCATTGCTGCATCCAAGGCTCTTAATAGTCCTGTCTGGAGAGTTCATATCCCACACCTGGCCAAAACTTAAGTATTATGTTTTGAACAAAGCAATAGGTAATTAGCTACAAATTCCCAATTAATTCTCATATAGATATTTTTGACACTTTTCTTTTGAGGTAGGAGGAAAAAACTGGCATTGATGCTTTTGTCCTCTTAAATTTAAGAGAAAAAAATAAGAAATTCAACAGTAAATACATATATTACCACCAACAGTCAAACCAAGAGGCTTGAAATTCACTATTAGAAGACAAAGTGAAAACAAACAAAACAAAAAAAGACTAAGATTCAGAATTCATAGGCTCATTAGAAACTTGGCACTGAAAAGAGAATTTCCCTGTGTAAGTAATTTATTCCCTAATCATGCTACAATTAAGATGGCAGAGGCCTTTTCACAGGAGTGGGAGGTGAAGAATAGTGGGACAGGGCTCAAGACCGATGTCTTCACCAGTTTTAACAATCACATTGCTGCCGAGGAAAAGTTGATGTTCAGAGTCAATCAACATTTTTAAGACAAAAATTTGAACCAGAAAAGGACAATCAAGAAAGAGAAAAAATACTTCTCTAGGAGAGCCAAGGTGTGGCCAGTGTCACAGGAAAGAAGAAATGACAGTTATGGGTGACCTCACTAACAGGAGGTTTAAGAGCCTCAATCTCCAAACACAAAAGACAGTTCAAGGATCTGAGCATCTCATTGGGCCTCAAACCCTAAAAGACCCACAGAAGTCGGTCACCTGTGGAAAAGGTAGAACAAGCTAAAACATGGCTGAAGAATCAACTGATGATTCAAAGCCTGAATTCTAATTTCCTGTAGGCCTGCATAAAAAGCACAATGCTGTTCCCTAACATGGCTTACAAACACACACAAAGGAAGTGATCTCCCAGTCATACGTCTCTAGAAAACAAATGGGACGAAATACCAAGACTCTTGACACTCTTCAGAGTCCAATCATCTGTAGGAACTTCTTTTCCATTGTTCAGATGTATAAAACATTAAAAAAAAAAAACCCAGAAATGTTTCTCAATGTCTATGAAAACATTTAAAACTGGCATGTGGTTTCCCTCTTGAAAGTGTTTTATTTTAGATGTATGACCTCACCTGAAGCTTCACAATAACCCCACATATAGGCAACATGGATATTTTCCCTCCATGCCACAGGTCAAGAAACCCCCATCAAAGGTGATGGGACTTTTATCCAAGATCTCAAGGCTTCTTTTTACAGCGTATGGCCCAAACAGGAACCCAGGTGTTCTGACTTTGGTTGCAGTGTTCTCTAAATTCTACTCAAAGTGTGGGCCACAAGCAAGCAGCATATAGCATCACGTGGTGATGAGTCATGTGCACACTGAAGTTTGGGCACCTTGCTTTGTAAGGGATTAAGGTGCTCTATGGTAATAACTCTCTCTCTGGATTTGGAGCCCCAAATTTTTCTTACCCATGCAGCCCTCCTCATCCACAAAGACTTTAGATTTTAGCACACGCTTTCGTTTTCTTTTGTTTTCTCCACTTGAGCTCTAAAAGATCAAAGGAAACAACATTAAATTGACCAATGAAGCAATAGAGAAAAATAATAAAATCTTTTTAATCTATAATAATCACTTCCAATACTCCATGATGATAAAAAGTTGAACAAGGAGTTTTATACATTTCCTCTTAGGGGACCAGCCCAACCATATGGACAAGTTATGCTCATTGTATGTGCAGGCCTGTTACTCCATTGTTTGTGAGAAGAAAAACAGTATGTTGAACAAAGAACTGTTCATTCAGTCAACAAACTTGTTGAGTAGTGTAGGCATCACAGTTAAAAAGGACCAATAAGACAAGAGCCTTAGTGGAGGAGAGACAAGGAAAAAGACCATGGCAATACCCTGCGGTAAGGGCTTTAATGCAAGGCCACAGCAGATATTATGGAAACACAAAGGGAAGGGCCCCTAAACCAGACCACAGGTCTCCACAGCACCCACCCTTGCTCTAGATACCTGCTCATTCAGCCTCAACACTGCAACTTTACCACCATCAAATTTTGTCTCAAACAGGTATTACTTATACCAATTTCCTTTTTTCTCTACTGGTCTTTCACCCCATTTTCTCTTCAGCTAGTGAGAAAATTAGTACAAAATTTAGATAGTCTGTAAGACAATAAATTAAGGAAAACTAATAGTCATAAAGGAAAAAAACACCCACCCATCTTTTAACCCTTCATTAACTACACTAATAGATGCTGACAAGATGCAGGTGAAAATCACTGAAAACTGTATTTCTCCATTTGCAGCCCTTTCTAGAAGAGCAACAAATGTGCATAAGTTGTTTGTTCTACTCTTTCACACACTCTGCTCTGCTGCAAGACTTCATTTTGCACAAAGCCAACAGAAGTTGGGTAGCATAGCTGCCCTGAAGCTGGAGGTCATGAAAAACAAAAGAGCTCCCAAGACTGACCTCTGTTACAATCCTGAGATGACACCCTATGGCTGAACTCCCACTTCAGGTAAGAAGAGAGGACATGCCCGCTCTGCACCACCTTTAGGAGAGCTGAATGCGACAGGAGGCAACTACTGGCATGTGTGAAGGGTACAGCGGCAAACTAGTTTAGCAGAGCAGCTTTATCCTTGGGCAATGAAAGACACATGGAAAGGCAGCCATCCCAGTAAAGCTGTACCTTGACAGAAGGAGGCTCTGGCTTGGTCTTCGGCAGTGGTTCAGGAGATGGAGAAGCAGGAGGAGGTGGGGAAGCAGGAGGAGGTGGGGATGGTGACTCGGCTTCATACGCCCCAGGAGAGTCTGGTATGACTGAAATAAGGAAACAAGCTTAGATAAGAGAACTACAGCAGTATCTGGTACGATGCCTTCTCCACGGACTCTTTACACTTCCATGTCTGGCAAAGCACATTTTGCAAGCAGTAATTCATGATAACCAAGGACTCTGCAGTTATATATCTTTAAAACACACATTTTATTAATTTTCATACAAAGAGAAACAGAATCAAGAATTATTAAAGCTAGAATGTACCTTTAAGATCATCTGAGCTAAGCTTCTAATTTTACAGATAAGTCAGGGTATAAAGTTATTTTATAAATATCCACTGGTCAGCTACCATGTGTCATCTATTCCACTTACATTATTTCACTTTATCCTCACAGCAAACAAGAGACAAATTATTATTATTCACACATTAGAGATGCGTAAACAGAGGTTCAGAGATGTTAATTAACTTGCTGGGGTCACAGAGCTTGCAATTGAGGCAGGTTTTAAACCCCAGTTACTCTGATTCCACAGCCTTACTATTCCAACTATATCATGCCGCCTTACCATTCAGGGCCAGACATTTTCTCTTAAGATCAAGTAAGTGGAGATAATCCTCAGATTATACCAAATGTGAGTACCTTTCATGTGAAGACATCCATTACAAATATATTTAAAATACACCAATGCATCAACCATTCCTTATGCTTATGTCATTAAAAATCTGCTGAGGGAGAATGTTTGGCTTGATAATAAAGACTAAGGCAGACAGACATGGATACTAGCATACGAATGCGGGCAAGTCTTTTTTAAATCTCTTTGAACGTCAGTTGTATAAAACAAATAATAGTAATAGTGATTCTGTGACGTGATCTAAGGATTATTAGCAGTCACCTAAGATGTTTGTTAGACTGAAATTTTCCAGTTGATACTAAGAACATAACTTCGGGGGTTGGGGAATCATCTTTGAAATGATGATCACAATTATCGTTCTAACTAAGACCTGCTTATTAATATGTTGTCTGGGAAGTACTTCAAGTGATTGCCTCTCCCATGAGACTTGTTTTGCTACACTGAGATAGGCAAAAAGGAATATTTTAAGGAAAGAAATATCGCTATAGAAGTGGTACCACCTGAGAAGAGAGCCACCAGGAAAATTCCATCATTTCTGAATAGTTCCAGAAACAGTGATCTTAGTAGAAGGCCCATGAGAGAAAGTGAAAATCCTCAGCTGACCTATTGCTTAATCACCACAAGAAATTGCTGGTCAAGGGACTGGGTAGCTGCCTAGCCTCACCTGCTCCCTGAATCTCCTGGCTGTATTCAAATTCTTAGCACAAGTCTTGGATCTGAAATTCTCCCAACTGATTTAGGTCAGTGTTAAAAATTATGACAGTGAGGGGTTCAAGGCCAAATGAACTAAAGAGGTGAAGCAGAACAGAAGCCAAGAAACAATAAATTATACACTTCAATTATGAAATGGGCCCCACAACTTTATAAGCTCTAGAAAACAACAGACAGAAACATAAAAGGAAAGTGGTCCAGCTATTTATTAACCATCTCTGGGAGGCTAGAACATGATGGGAGCTCAAGCAAGCAAAAGTCAAGTCAAACCACAGAACCATAAGCACCTATTTTTCTGAAGGTATAGCTATTAAGAAAGCTGTGTCACAATGTGTTACAGTGGTAGAAGGAAAGTTTATGCAGTGAGGACGCCAAAGAAAAGGAATTTTGAGTACTCACAGTAATAAATTTATGAGTTCTTATTCTATTTCCAATTCTGTAACGACTTGTTTTAACCAAGGAAAACACATAATCCCAAGCAGCACCCTCTAAGACCCTTCTCACTGTGCTATATGGAACTGATTATCTATTTCCCCCCTTCAGACTCTAAGCTACATACAGGCAGAGGTACCACGATTTCTCTGGCATTGGATAGAGTAACAATTTTTTTTTTAATAAAGGAAAAGAATAATTTTCTGAACTAAATTTGGGATGAGGGGAGTTCTAGGTCAAGGAAGATTTGGTATATACCTCCTTCTCCCTTCCACATACCTGCAAAGAGAAACAACAATAATAAAGAAATGAAATGTTGTAATCCCCCATAATAAGGAAGAGAACATCAGAGGAGCCAAGAGCTCTTAATGAGTAAGAAATTTCAAATTCCTGGAAGATGGAAGGCAGATAGGAGAAAGTTGACAAGAGAAGCATCAGTCAATTGAGTCAATTAAGGAGAGGTTTATATTATAAAACTTGTATTTTATCTGATTTTTGAAATTGTGTATATGTATTACTTTGTTTAAATTTTTTTTAAATAAGGAAGAAAAGATAGGGAAAACATCTAGAACTTTCTGGGCTTTACAAATATTAGTCATTCATTTTTATAATAACCCCACAAAATCACTATTACTATTTCTGTTATACACAACTGAGATTCAAAGAGATTTTTAAAAAACTTGCCCACATTCATATGCTAGAATCCGTATCTATTTGCCTTCATCTTTATTATCAAGCCAAGCATTCTCCCTCAATAGACTTTTCGTGATATAAGCATAAGGAATGATTGATGCATTGGTGTATTTTAAATATGTTTGTAATGAATTTACAGCTCTTCATATTAAGGTACTCAAGCAGTGAAACATCACTTACCCAAGAAAGCAACCTCTGTTGAGGCAGAATTAGAACTGGGGCAAAACTAACCCAAGGGATCTAGCAATGTAACCACTGTTCATCAGTTTTCTGGAAGAGATGGGTAATTAGAATTCTTGGAAATCACTCACAGTTTCCTAGGAAATTTTTGTAACTACTTGTCTTAACCTTTACAAAAAAGGGAGGGGGTGAGACCTTGTTGTTTATCTATTTTATACACAGTAGTTTGTGTATCTGTGTTTTATAACTGAATCACTATGCATACAACAGAAACTAACACAATGATGTAAATCAACTATACTTCAATAAAAAAAGAATGAATACTATAGAATAACCACTCTCAAAAAAAGAGGGTTGGATGGATGGATCATTGGCTTAACATTCTCTATAAGCAATCTGCAAGGACTACAAATGTTAGCAAAGATTGAAACATACTGGTTAAAACTACTGCTTCCTAGCAATGTAGATATCACTCTTAATGTTATTTCTTTCTGGGTTTGGCCTTTTCTTGCTTTGCAAAGAGAGTATGCAGAACTGCTAACGGTGCTTATGACTCTGCCAGAGAGAAGGAGAAAGGAACAGTCCCTTGAGTAGAGTGTTAAGGATATGAAGTTGAAGGGAATTTTCTGAGAAGTTATTTTCAAGTGCATTTACTATCATTAAACGCTTACTGAATTTCAATTGAAAAAGTGGCATGAATTAGGAAAAAAATAACGTTAAGCACTATCCTGACACTTTTGACACAGCATCTTATTGGATGTTAATAAAAGGGCTACCCAGTTTGTGATAACATCCCCATCTTAGAGATGAGGAAACAAGGAACTAAAGTTAAGTAATCTACTGAAAGCCACACAGTAAGTGATGGAGGCAAGATTTAAACCCAGGTCTGTCTGACTGCAAGGTCTCTGCCATTTCCTCCACTCCTATTGCTCATGTACTAACTTCTAGCTGGAGACAGCATACTGAACTAATAGCACATAATCAGTGTAACAGAAATAAAACAATAATAATTTAGAGACTATGTAAAGGTTTAAAATAAAATCCCACTGGCTTTGAGACAAAGAAGAAATTTAGGAATAAAATGGCAAAGGTTTATAAATTTAGTCAGATGCCAAAAGTTATCTTTGCCAGAGAAAAAATCTGAGAGCCTCTGCTCTATATCATCTGTTATTATACGTTGTCCACCTCTTTCACATTTTCTCAGTCCTTTCCAAACTAAATAACCCCACTCATATTTCTAATAACTTATGAGTATTATTTTTGTGAGCTAAGGATCAAACTACAGAAAATATTTCAGAAGTATGTAATGAGTGTTCAATCAACTACAGTTAATTCCTTGACTTAGAGCTGACTCCTTCACTAATACTAGAGTATCCAGTTTACTTTTTAAATGTCCATTAGGCAGATGGCTTCAAAGACTTTTCTAGAATCTTCCCCAAGTTCTTCTCCTGGCTGGAATTAGGAAAGGCTGTTCCAGTTAGCATACATTCTTAAGTTATTTCCTAAGTTATTTTCCCATGTGCCTGCATGGAGTTGCCTCTATTTCCTTAACTCTTAACCTGTCAGAATGTTTCTTGATGGTTCTTGTTTCATCCACACATTTGGGGGATCTTCTGTTCTGCAGTCTTGGTTAAAGCATTTTGATAAATGACATGGGATGAGTATACAGCAACTGTCCCACTGGGATGCTCACAATACCTTATCCCTATCCATTCCAGTCACTGAAAACCCTAAATCCATGGAAGAGTCAAAGATGTATGTCTGAGGTGGGAGGGTATAGCTCAAAGTGGTAGAGCGTATGCTTAGCATGCACGAGGTCCTAGGTTCAATACCCAATACCTCTTAAAAGAAAAAAAAGTAAATAAATAAACCTAATTACCTCCCTCCCTCACTTAAAAAAAATTTCTTTCTGCCACAGACATATTCAACTTCCTTGTATTATTTCTTAGGTCTGTTCATTTCCTTTGCATTACTGTCATCTCTATATATAATTTGTTTCTTCACTTGGGCTAATACCCCCCCCCACTTTGGGGGAAAACTCTGTTACCATTTTCAGTGCTTCTTATAGCAGTTTCCAGTAAGAGTAGAGTCTAAGAAGTTTAGCTTCGTTCTTCAACAGCATAGCAGGTTCCTTTTTTTGCATTCAATTTTCTCCTTTAATCTCTTTTAACGTCAGTTTGTTTGCTTTTGTCTACCTTTATGTGATGCTGAATCCCTTTGGACAAGAGCTCCCCCGGGCATTACCTAAAATGTTTTATACTCATTATGCCATGAATTCATGGAGAATCAATCACAGCAGCTCAAGCTTTTCACCACTGGTTCTCAAAGCAGGCTTTTCAGGGTCAAAGTCATCTGGCATGTCAGTTCAACCCAGATATCTTTCTCTTTAGCCTCCTTCTTTTTCTGTACTTTCATTTACACAATTTGGGAATAGATCTTGGCTCTCAGAATACTTGGTATTCTTTTAACAGGCACATTAATTTTTCAGGCGCAAATCCTGCCCTTATTCTGTTCACTTATCTTACAACAGTGTCCACAACCTAAAACTGGGGGTCCACAGTGTCATTCCCTTTCAACAATGACACTGCAGATTCTTCATCCTAGTACGTTTTACTTAGGTGGTACAAACCACCACCAATACCTTTGATGCTGCAATATCATCCATTTTATAAGATTCACATGAGGTAGCCAAAGGAATAATTCTATTTTATTTTTTAAAAAAGAAAGTGTCTTCGATAATAAATATAATAATAATCCTTATTTTCTTTCCCTTTGTACTTATTTTGGCAAATTACCAGATTATGGTTCTTATCAAAAGGTTAAAATAGATTTTAAACAGAAATAGGTACTATATGCCTCTCAATGCTAGGATTACTACTGTGACCCATAATAAGCAACTTTTTAGCTCCTGGGCTAAAATCATCATAATAATAATTGACCCTTCTGTGGACTGAATGAATGTTTGTGTCTTCCCCCAAAATTCATATGTTGAAGCCCTAATCCCCAAAATGATAGTATTTAGAGGTGGGACCTCTGGGAGATAATTACGTCATGAGGATAGAGCCCTCATGAATGAGACTGGAGGCATGAGAGGGGTGATTTCTCTCTCTGCTATGTGAGGATTCAGCAAGAAGGTGTCCTACAAATGAGGAAGAGAGCTCTCACCTGATTTTGGACTTCTCAGCCTTTAGAACCGTTGTTTAAACCTCCCAGTCTACAGTATTTTTGGAGCCCAAACTGAGACAACCCCACTAACCAAAAATTAACAGCACTGCCCACCTTCATCTTCGCTGCTATCAGACTCAGGAAGTTTGATTCTTCTCCTCTTCTTTTTCATGTTTTCAGTTTCTTTTGTCTCATCATCAGAAAACTCCACTTGCTTCCTCCTGTTGCCATTCAGGAATAATTTTAGCACAAAATAAAAATGTAAGTATTCATATCTCACTATGGGTCTTGCTTCGTAACTCATGATCTTAATTCCAGAGGGTAGAAAGTAAGAGGTCACAATAGACCCATAAGGATTCTTTTTAAGGATAGTTTGCTAACTGACCACAACTAGGTCACTTCATGGAGTAACCAGAATAAAAATTTTCTCTAACTCTCTAAAGACCACTATAAGCTACATACCAGGCTATTGAGAATTTTTCCAAATTCCTTCTTTCTTCCCTTACTGACCTTTCAATCATTCAACAAGCATTAAATAACCAGTTACTACCTGTATACAAGGCTTTTTGCTAAACATTCATATGCAAAGATCAAGAAAATACCACGCTCTCAAGAAGATCTGGCAGGAAAAACAGATATGAATACCACTAACTATAAAATACACCGTTATAAATTTTACTGGACAAATAAACATTAAGGAACATGAGTCTTACTTTAAAACTTCAAAACCTAAATAGAATTTTATCATATAGAAAAGGGAGACATATTTTAAAAAGAAAGAACAATATGGGCAAAGATATAGACAGAAGACTTTAGGGTGATTCTAATGACATAAAAAACCCTAGATCCATCTTGACATTATTTAGCTCCTCTATCTGGATACTCCGCCACACTATTCATTCAATCAGCAAATAACTTATTAAGGGCCTACTATTTATAGACACAAATATGTAGAAGACAGTTTTTGCTTTCAATTACCTTATTTCTTATGTAACTAAATATCAACTTATTTTTCCACCTTAAGTTAGAAAAAGAACAAATTAAGCCCAAAATAAGAAAGAAATAATAAAGAGCAGAAATCAGTGAAACAGAAAGTTTCCAAAGGTAAAAGTTGTTACTTTTAGCAAATATTAATAAAATTAGTGAGACTTTTCACAAGATTGATTAAAAAAGAAAAGTATATATTACCAATATGAGGAATGAAAGAATGAAGAAATTTTTAGATTCTATATAGATTCTGCAGATATAAACTCAACAACTTAGATGAATTAAATTCCTTTAAAAACACATTCAAAAATGACCCAAAAGGAATAAGAAAACTTGAATAGCTCTATTTAAAGAAATCAAAATCATAAAAATTTTCCCACAAAGAAAACTCCAAACTGGATTCACTGGTGACTTTTATCAAACTTTAAGAAAGAAACAATACATACCTTACACAATCTCTTTCAGAAAACTGAGAAGAAACTCCTCCCAACTAATTTTATGAAATGAGCATAACTTTGATACAGAAATTTGACAAAGACATTATCAGCAAAGAAAATAACTGATCTATAGTCCTTATAAATGTAGATGCAAAAAAATTCTTAACATAGTACTAGCAAATCGAATCTAGCAATACATAAGAAGAAGAAGAAATACATCATGACTAACTGAGGTTTAGCTCAGGAATGCAAGGTTGGTTTAACACTTGAAAACTAGTCAGTGTAATTCACCACATTAACAGAAACACTATATGATGACCTCAATAAACACAGAAAAAGCATCTGTCAAAAATCAACACCCATTCATAAAATATCTTAGCAAACTAGGAATAGAAAAGAACTTTCTGAATCTGGTGAAGGGCATCTATTAAAGACACATAGTTAGCATCCTATTTAGTGGTGAAATATTGAATGCATTCCTGGCAATAATCATCAACAACGAGTGTTGTAATGTAAAATGTCTCATGGGTGGAGACATTTTAATCCATACATAACATGTTCCTAGGAGGTGAGCCCCACTGGACAGAACTCTGACCCTCTGAAACTTCAGCATTTTGCTGACGTTTTCTAATAGAGTAGCCCCAACCTTGCCACAAAAGTCAAGTATTTCTGGGCCTATCAGTGCTGACAGTGTCCTTTAGAATTTCTTTCAACAGACAAATTCCTACCAACTATGAGGTAGTGTCTCAAATTCCTGGATTCATTTTTAACAGCTTGTGTGCGTTTTATTTTCTTTTCTAATTACATTTTACCACTTGAAAAATAAACTCATTGATATAAAAAGAAAACAAAGAACTTTTTCTCTTAAATTTCACTGGAAATAGTAACACCTCATTTGGCAATCTGAAGTGAAAAACAGACACATAGACAGACAATCAGGCACACTTAATGCCATGTCCACAAATATAAAATGAAGTAAAGAAGAAAAGACAATCAATTTAGATCAACGGGGCCCCCAAAACTGGCTTTGGTCTCTAAATCAACTGAATGGGCCGTTTCCACAGTTTTGCTTCACTAGTTAAGCTATGGAGCTTCTCTGTTCATTCTACTTATATAGCTGTATCCCTAAGGCATTAAGTAGAATTTGATACTCAACTGAAAACTGCCTCCTTACAAATGAGTCCAAACAGACTTTCTCACCCCTAGCAGAGAAACTCTTCCCCAACAAGCAACAAAATTTTCCTACCTTTTTTTTTCCTTCTGCTGCATCTTAACAGGCTCTATTTTTTTGCTAGATTTCTCCAGGCCCACAGGGGCTGCCAGCTTTGGTTCAGTGACAGAGAGTGGAGGTTGCTCCACTTTTTTTTCTTCTTTCACTACTTGTTCTGAATCCAAATTGACTTTAAGTTTATCTATAAATAAAGTATAGCAGATGATATATAACCCCATCATGTAATATTAATCTATCATTCCTTTGACAGTTTACTAAGTGCCACATGATATATTAGAAACAGGGTCTAAAGGAATAAAAAACAGTCCCTATCCTAAAGAGCTCATGGTCTAGTCAAGAGAATATTTCTCCTTTCCAACTACCACTCTAGCTGTAACTGTTTTCATTTCTGCTTCCTCCTAATCCCTCATATCACAGCCCCCAGGCCAAATGACAGTAAAGGCAGAGCTTAGAAAAAATGAATACAACTTTATGAGGTACCAACATTCTCATTTGTTAGATGAGGAAATTAAGAGTCAGAGGGATTAAAAGATGCTTCCCAAGAGTATGCAGCTGACAAATTGTGACAACAGAAAAGCATCTCCTTTTTATACTTAAGAAAATATGAAATATCTTTTTAAATAAAGAAAGATAATAGATGATGACTTTCAAATTTTGTCACCAATGCTGCATTTTTTTAAAAAGATATAAAGCACTATGGTTTTTGTTACTGAGATTTAATTCACATATCATAAAATTTACCCTTTTACAGTGTACAATTCAGTGGTTTTTAATTGCAACAACACCACTATCCAATTTTAGAATATTTTCATCACCCTCAAAAGAAACCCTGTACCCATTAGCGTCATTCCCCAATCCATCCCTTAATAACCACTAATATACTTTCTGTCTCTATAGATTTACCTATTCTGAAAATTTTTATATAAATGCAGTCATACAACCTGTGGCCTTTTGTGTCTGGCTTCTTTCATTCTGTGTAACGTTCAAGGTTCATCTATGTTGTAGCATATATCAGTAATTTATTCCTTTTTATAGCTGGATAATATTCCATCAGAAAGATATACCACATATTATTTATCCATTTATCAGATGATGGACCTTTCTGGTTAAGAGTACTGCTATGTATGTTTGTGTACAAGTTTTTGTGTGGATATACAGTTTTAATTCACTTGAATAGATACTTTGGAGTCAAAGTGCTGGGTGACTATGTTTAATTTTTTGAAGCACTGCCACAATGTTTTTCAAAGTGAGCACACCATTTTACATTCCCCACAACAACGTATGAGGGTTCAATTTCTCCACATCCTTGCCAACACTTGTTATTACCCAGCATTAAGTTTTAAATGGTTCAGGTCCCACAATCAACTCTCTTCATCCAACCCTCAAGCTTCATTTTTGTTGCAATGATCTTGTTATGTGTCAAATATAATAAAAACATTCATAATTTTAATTTAAACACTCAGTCTTGAAAAAAAATTTGTTAAATAAATCAGCTTTGTAAGCCGTTCTTTGAATTAGTTGAATATTTCATTCTTTATTTTATCCAGGTTTTCCTCCTCCCCCTATTACATTCTATCGTAACATTCTGTTATTCTCTGCCTTGCAATTATAATCATTAACTATTTTTTCTGTATTTATTTGTCTGTCTATTTCAGTAGGATATAGGGCCATAAGGGCATTTTCTCCATGGTATCACTAGTGCATAATAGTGTGAAGCACGAAGTAGGTGCTCAATAAATATTTGCTAAACACATTAATAAATAAATGTATACTTCTGTTTGGCTTTTACAATTTGCAAACAGTCACATCTTTAAGTATTTAGAAATAATAATAATTATTTTAAAATTGTTTTTTAAGGTTATATATACATAAAAAGAGAAACAACAAATAAACATGTGGGCCTCATCAAAGTTGCCAAGAAACCACACAATCTGACTACATATAGTGGACTAATACCAGCCATGCAGCATGATCTATTTTCACAGAAGTAGGGAGTCCTCCTACACACCATGCCTGCAATATAATCGTGCTTCCCAATAATCTGAAAGTAGCAAATTTTAAATATTTTTTCAGAACATAAAAATGTTCCCTGATAGCTTTTATGGCAAATAAAAAAACTATTACCCTAACCTGTCCTATACCAATTTGAACATCACAGAAAAGCAGATTTCTGACTTATTTTGCTTGCGTAGGCATGTGACAAAATGCTTCCCACAAAATCTTTGTAAAATTGATGCTCCAAGAAGTGTGTCATAATTACCCTGCAACTCCTGCATTCTTCCTTGTATTCTGGCCACATACTCTCAGGGAATGTGTACTTGATATGAGAAATATGGAAATATGTGATTATTAGTTCTTTATGGAAGAATTCTTTTTTTTTTCCTTTTTTAAAATTTGCTTTCTTTTTTATTGAAGTATAGTCAGTTTACAATGTTATGTCAGTTTCTGGTGTACAGCATGATGTTCTCTAGTCATACATATACAATCATACATTCATTTTCATATTCTTTTTCTATACGAAAGAATTCTTATCTAAATTTTTTTTAAATAAAGGAGATCTGCTTCCCCAAAAAGTAAATGCTTTTAAATGGCCATTACCACTTGGGCCCTTCTAATTCATACTGAGGTCTAGTTCACTACTATAAGTAATCTGCAAAAATAACTAAAGAAAGGCAAAAAATTTGTTTTTGTAGCCCCTTGGGAAATAGAGTTAACAATGGTCACACCAGGCAAACTGACCCAAACAACATCCAATATATTAACCCCAACAATACACTGCTTAACCAGGCAGCCTCACTCTTATTTTAATCACCCACTTTTAAAAACCCTACAAAACAAATGTTTAATTCTCTTTTCAAGGCATGAAGTAAAAATGAGAATACGCAAACTACCCTCCAAGAGATCTAAACTGAGCTCAGCTCACCTTGTAAAATCCACTGTCCCAGTTGGTTATGTTCAGCAGTTTATAGGTCAGTAGACCGTAAATTTATGTTAAGATGCAGGAATGCTACTTGGTAGTGTGTTAAATGGGTAAAAACTGGACAAAGTAGCTTTCACCTCAGATATAACAAGTGATTATATTAAAATTCATGTATTAGTCAAAAGAAGGTAAGAACATACTTACTCATAGCAGCTTTTCCAAAAAAATTGCTTATCATATTCCCTTTCCCTGGTGCCTTGTTGCCTGCCGAAGATGCCTAAAAGCATGGAAAAGAAAATATACATGATTTTTTTCCTCTAGTGTTTAGGCTGTTCTTCAAGTCACGGTCTCTTCCACAAAAATCTCTTCAACAGCAGAGCACACTATCATGATCGTACAGTCTCTACAGTATCATGCCAAAATGTGTAGGTGTTAGATACAAGAACAAATCCAGACCAGACAATACCTGGAGTAAATCTCCAAAGCTTAGTTCCTCATAGTTCTTATAAAATTATTATCCATGAATGCACCTAAACTTTTCTTGAGTATGTTTAAAAACTACTTAGCTTGACAGAATTAAAACAGACCAGAAGCAGTATACAATCAGGAAAGACCTCCAAAACATTACATTTGTAACCACTGTAAGTGGAACGGAATGCTGGCTCCACCACTTAGAGCAATATGACATCCAGGCAT